AATTCAACTGAAGTCATATGGGTGTCATAATGTTTGTGTAGAAATTTAGGAATGAGAAAATTAGAAACATTTGACTTATTATTAAATTATCTATGCCCACAACCATTCAGACAGTTCGAGAGTTACTAAGAAAATTGAAACGCTCCAATTACTTAAAAATTCTGATAAATTTTGCTAGATGGCATACCTTAAAACTATGGCCCTCGAATAATCACAAAATGATACTTGTGATATAGATCAATTTATATTGTTGCAATCGTATTCTATTTTTAATTATCACATTTTCTGGATGTCAATAAAACTAATTTTTCCAAATTTTTTAGTTAAAACATTTAACAGTTTTTAGTTCAGGATAAGTAAGACCTGAATGAAGAAAAAACAAACAAAGATTCTAGTTTTTGAATATCTCTCAAGATTCAAGAGATTCAAAGGCTTGAAAACCCCATATCTAGATTTTAGACGCAGCCTATGAATTTGCACCTTCACATCTAACTAGGTCAAGTCCTTTTGTTTTAACAGGAAGAATTACAGATTTAATTTATCGGTATAGTAAAAGCATTGCAAAAATCTTCACAGATCCACCGTGAATTAAGTAAAAGGTTTGGTTTGATTGATTACACAAAAGCATACAGGTGTATCTCCCTTTGTGGATGACATTCTAAGGTAAAAGTGGCTTACATACACATTACATATTGGAAAAACCATGAAAATTCTCATGCACATAGCCTGTTTGATAGGAATCACACTACCAGTGTTCAGCGACTTTATCACTTGGCTGCTGGTGGCCCAAAACTAGCAATTTGAGTAGATATAGCTTGCAGCTGGTAGGATTTGAACACATGGGGAAAACTCAATGGATTTTGAGATCACTTGCCTTAACTACTAGGCCGCAGCTGCACACACACACACACAAAAGAAGAGACAGAAGAATTATAGAATATACATACTATTTCTTTAAAAATATATGCATTAAAATAACTATTTGGGAATATACTAACAGAAACTGTAATGCACATTAGATTACACTATTAAAATTCCCTTAATTCCTGTCATCACATTTCATTCCTCCGCCCAACTTGTATGGCGGTTAGCGTCGCTGACTGTTGTGCTGAAGGGTCCGGGTTCGAATCCCGGAGAAGACATGGATGTTTGTAAATGTTTTTGTGTAGCACCACTAATGTGTTGGTGCAGCACGGCAGCACTCAAAATATGCGGCGAGCCGAAAATTTTCTCCGGTGTTTTGGTGGAAGGGAAGAGCTTTTCCCTCGAATCTGGGGTGCTCTCCATCAAAATTGGGGTCAGAACTGAGCTAAATCGCACTGTCACTTGAATGGCGTTCAAGGCTGTTGCCAATGGCAGGCATATGGAATTGCCATGAGGAATTTCATGGGCTTGGGCTGATTACATCAGATAAGTGAGCATAAGCAACAACAACATTTCATTGCTGTCATTGTTCCTTAATTAAAATTCATATGTAAAAAATACCATATTTCATTTCTTTTAAAGCAAAATCAAAGGTCTATTTTTGGTTTATTTGGTTAAAGCTACAACTCAGCAGAAAAGAAAAAACAGTAGAAAAAACTAATTCAGCTGAAGAATAGTAAGATCTAAGTTTCAGTTGTTTTAATGGCATTTTATTTATTGCTAGAAAAACATTTTTCTTGATAAAGAGAAAAAATTCAGCAATGTTGAAAAATTGGGAATCTCTTTGTAAAACCAGTAGCATCAGCAGCTATGAATTCTTATAGATAAATATCTAATCTTTTATCTTAAAACTCTTTATAGATAAAAGATACTATACCATACCATACCATCGAACCCAAGCCACATTACTTAAAAAAAAATTTGTTCCATTAAACAGTACCCAAATTTTAATAACAAATAAATAGACAATTATAAAAATACTTAATTTGAAATTACTGCTAATTAATCAAATTCACAAATTTTACACATTAACCGCTTCTCAGCCGAAGTATTAACTGCCACGGGCATATATATATATATATATATACACCCTTCCAAAATACTATCATTTGCTTTGCATTGCTACCTGTAAAATTATTCGTAAAGCTTTGGAATGCAACACCACAATGACCTTGACAAAGTATGTGAAGGAGGATACTATTTGAGAGAAGTGTGGGGACAAACTGGAGAGAGGGATGTGTCTAAGGCCGTGAAAGTAATGACTGCCCGGTTATTGGCTGGTGTTGTTTGAATAAAACGTACTTTTTTTTTATTCTGTGTCCTCCGTTTTCATTTACTTTTTGTAGTAGGTTCCAGGAATAAAGAAAGTTATAACGGATGTTTCAAACCATTTATCTTTTTTGAATTATTTTTTAATGAACTGCTCGTGCTTCATATTGTAACTGAAACTAACCATTTTGTAGACGAGTATATCAACCAACACCTTGCAAACAAAAAATCAAGAACAAAATCGTGGCATTCAACCAGTTCAGAAGAAATACATGTTTTTTTAGGCATACTGATTTCACAAGGTCACTGAAACCTGATACAGTCAAAAGTCGTCAATTCGGACACCCATAATCCGGAATGATCTATAATCCGGACCTAAAAGCTAAAAACTTTCTGCGCATGCGCATAGGCGTTTACGCGTGGGCGTAAGACCTTTACGACTGCACATATCGGTGTGTGCAAGCGCAGAATACGTTTTCGCGTGCACGTTTAATGTATAACGAACGGTATAAGCTAAAATGATCTAATTATCTATTTCAGTTAATGTTAATGATTGCGTTGTTCCTTAATCTTCGAATTGGATCCGGCTTATTATTTTTTGCAGACTGTAAGAACAATTTTATAAAAGTAAGCTTGAACTTTCGATTATGTCAAATAGAATTTCCGATGCTGGAGCTCGGAAAGGATCTACAAAATGAAAGTATGTTTCGATGTCCATCAAACAAAAAGTTTAATTGCTGCAAAAAATGGATAACGGCATATCCTTTGTTTATCTAATCGTTCCGAAATCTGTTTATCAATTTCACGCTGCTCTGCGCGGGGGAGAGGGGGAACGTTGCGGCACGCAATGAACAGGAAGTTGATCTGTCAGCACTATTGTTATCTTCAGGGCAGATGTTTTTATTTTATTCGGCTTATAATTCTTTACTAAATGTAGTATTTCATCTCGATGTACTCCGTCTTTGATATGATTTAAATCAAATTCGTCATTATAAATATTACGAATACAAATCAAATAGTTTTCCGGTTGCAATTTTCTAATTTCGGCTATGCGAAATGTATGCTTTACGCATGCGCGCGTTGAAAGAAATGTTTAATAAAGTAAACAAATAAATATTAAGCTTTTTTTTTGTAAATTTTGATACCCTTTAGATCATAATTGCTCATTATTTTATAAATTACGGTTTCATATTTTTAATTTTATAATTTCTGCATGCCATCTTACCAGATTTCAACTGATGATCTATAATCCGGAAAAAATCGATAATCCGGAATCGCCGACGAGTCCGGATTAAAGACTTTTGACTGTATTACACTTTATTGGTCTAAAAATGAATTGATCGAAACTCCATTTTAGGGATATTTTTTATTATAAAAACATAATTTTTATTATACTTACATCTTTTTATTATACTTTTACTCAAAACATTAAATATTGTGCATTCATTTTTTTTTTTTTTTTTATTATTTATTTTGTGAAAGTAAACAGTTTTTAGAAAGCAAAACTCGCACTTATTTCCCCCTTAATACATCGCATAACTACGCGCGCCTGTGTGAAAAACCGTGGCGCTGGGAAACGAATCTTGTACATTTTCCGCAGCAGTTAAGGGGTTAAGCAATTTTTTTAAATTAATCATTTCTTTATAACTGACATCTATTTTGCTTTAATCACTGCAGTGCTTATTTTATGCAAAAATATTTGTTATGAGAACAATTACAAACATTTTTTGGGGATCAGATGCAAGGTCCCAATCAATAGCTTATGAAGTTATACATACACCTGGATTGTGCATATTTTATGATTATAAGGTATTTTCTCCCTCCTTTCTGTATGCCTTCATAGTATAATGGTTAGCACATTAGGCGCATATTCAAGAGGTCCAGGTTCGAGTCCTAGCAAGGGCATTGCTTATTATCTCCTGCTTCAAAATAACCTAATGCCTCTACAACGGCGTCTGAACATAGGCGGTGCATATTCGAGAGGTCCAGGTTCGAGTCCCAGCGAGGGCACTGCTAATTTTTTAAGTCTCCAGCATCAAAATTATCTAATGACTCTACAATGGCGCTCAAACTAAAAGGTGCTGGATGATGATTCTTCACCAGCAGGATTTGGCGACTGGGTCACTTGATCCTCAGTCGCATTAAAAACGGGAGTTTTCAAGCATGCCTACATGGTGTAATGGTAGCACACTTGGTGCATATTCGAGAGGTCTGGGTTCGAGTCCTGTGAGGGCAGTGCACATTTTTCATGTCTCCTGCTTCCAAAAAAACAAATAATTCTATAGTGGCGGCCGAATTAAAAAGTGGTGGATGATGATTCTTCACCAACAGGATTTGGCAATTGGGTCCCCTAATCACCATTCACCATTTAAAAGTGGGAGTATATAAGGTATTTTCTCCCTCCTTTCTGCATGCCTTCATGGTTATCACACTTGGCATGTATTCGAGAGGTCCAGGTTAAAGTCCTGGTAAGAGCATTGCTCATTTTTCTTGTCTCCTGCTTCAAAATAACCTAATGTCTCTACAAATTTTGTAAATTTGCACTTCGATTAATAATAATTTAATTTTTCACAATAATCAAACACACACAAGAAAAAAGTTTAGAAATCATAAAAAAATGGATTTATGGAAAAAAAAAATTAGAAATATAACACAAATATTAAATAAAAGACAAAAATATAAGAAAATGTTGTTAAATGGACATAACATGCTAAACCATTACAAAACTTATTATTTACAACTATTATTTACAAATGCCTGACTTAAGTCATTAGCGGATCTTTACGAAATAAATCACACAGACTAAATTTATTAGAAAACTAATCAGCTTTTATTTATACTCAGACTTGAAACTAAGTCAGCATTCCATTAGAAAACACAAAAAACAAAGCATACTAAAAACAGCCTTTTGGGGGGAAGGCGTTAATAACAAAGATAGACATAAAACATAGACAAGAAAAATACATCAAAGTGTCATGAAATATTTAGAAAGTTCTTAAATAAATATTAAGATTTAAAATCCATTACAGACTGTAGAAATATCCAGTTTCTACTACTTTAGACACATTGAAAATTGATTATACATAACAACATACAGGACTAAAACATAATTCTGAGGCTTCATCATATGATATATACAGTAAATGAATAATATACCTCTCATTCCTTAGGCATTCCAAATTTCAAACGCAGCCATTCTCCTTCAATGATTCTAAAATTCTGGATGACTTTACTTAATGCATTTCATCTTTCAAATTTTATACAGTAAACTTAAGGAATGAAAGCGAGAGTATTTTATGCATATTGCATTACTTCCCTTGACATTCACTGTTTATAGTGATTAAATAACAGTACAGACCTAAATGGCTTTAAGTTTTGATAACTTAATTTAACAGTCTGTAAATAAAATTTCAGTCAGATAATGACTCAAAGCATAAAATTTTATCATTTAAGATATATGTAATATATCTGCAACATAGTACATGTGTATATATAAGATAATACTCTAATTTATAACAGCCCTATAAATTTTCATTTGGTTATTTCTCCTTTTCTTAGCATGAAAATAATAAAATATTTGCAATCAATCTCTCTGATATAAATGATATAAAAGTATCATTTCAAACTAAAATTGTCAAATGATTCTTATATAATGACATGATTTACATAATTCTAAAAGCAGAATTGAAACCTTTCTTTTAATAGTATTCCAAAATATTTAAATTAACACTTTTTGTTAACCAAGAGTAATTAAGCTATACTGTGTCTCTCTTTTGTGGTACACAATAATTACACTATTAAATCTAGCATCAATAATATCATTTTTGTTCTTATATTTGCCAATGTTACACTAACACATAGTTCTTCTGTTTCTCTTCATCACCAGTTGTAATGCTATGAATAATTGAACATATGCTTACAATTATTAAACAATTGGCATATCTTTTGTACTAATTTAATTTAGAAATATATGTTTATGTCAATAAAGCTATGCGATGAATAAAGAATAGGATCAATCAGCTATAGACTGCATCTATTTTATAACTATCCCACAATCATCATATTCAACAAACATATTGTTAGCTTTTTTTTCAACATTGAAATTAAAACCGCAAAATATATTTGTAAATTAAAAATATAAGTTTTTAAAATAGCTAAGCATCAATAAGCAACAGAGATATAGTACATCCAGTACATTTTAAAATCTCTGAAAAAAAAAGAAAAAAAAAAAAAAAAAAAAAAAAAAATCTAGATTTTTTAAAAATTTAAGTTTGATTTAAACTTCCAAATTTTTAATTGAATTTGCTGCAATTTCTATTTTACAATTAAAAATGCATGATTTCATTCAATCTTACAGCAATAAGAAGTGTATCTTGTATTCCTACAAACTCACATCATCAATATAGTTTGCTCTGAATTTATACGTTTCAGTTAGAAAGACAAATGAGTACAGATCTCTTATTGATTTGTTATAAAAATAATGGGAGCTATATGCTGCACATACATAATTTCACACCACAATAGGTAATTTAAAATGATCTCATTAACTAATGCAACATAATAAATAAAATATATTGATATTAAAAAAAACTTGCTTAATATAAATTCAAACTAAATTTAAAAAAAAAAAATCAACATTTCCAAGACTTCCCCTACATTTAAACACACCAAGCCTTAAACTCAGTTAAAATTTTTTTTGCACAGTTTTCGTTTCACATTTGAAACTGCAGCATTTTGCTAGGTTTTATAAGAAAGTAATTTCATATTTCTGCTATTAAAGGAAGGGCAAACCAACAGAAAATACTCAACACAGATTTATATCAGATATTTTATCAGTTATTGTAAGAAATATGCATGATATAAGAGATCTGTGTATTACATTCTACAAAAATATTTTCTAAATGCACTGCAAATTAAATAATTTTGATTTTTGTCTTATTAAGATTAATAATAATATAATAATAATATTATCATTATTATAATAATATTACTAAGATTATTTGATTTTAATTTTTTATATGCTCTTTTCAAATAGTTCATTGATTAGTAGGATGACATTCTAAAAGAAATGAATGCAGAATTCTGACAGGAATCCTAAAATTACCTATAGTTACAGGTAGCATGATGAACTAAAACTTAAAAGACCAAAAAGTATAAACAAATATACAATTAAAAGACCTTTGTTATTAAACACAGTAAATGGGCAAAATGTTCAAATTACATAAATTATCATAAATCTAATACTTAACATATTACACATATATTATAATATGAATAAAATTGCCCACTAGGTCTGAAAAGGCTGGATACACGAGTTTTCACCATAGGTAATCATGAAACCAAATTAGTTTTCTTAGAAAGTTATTCACAAAGGCATTGTAAATGCAGATACACATCAATCACTTAACCACAATTAACTAGTACAATTTTCTTACATTTTTCATTAAATATAACAATGTACAACATCTTAATAACATTTATTTAGCCCAATCTGTACAAGCAAGAAATTTAGAAACATGTCAACTTTTATGATTCCTAGTATTCTAAATTTCTGCTTAAGGAAGAAGTTGATTATTGCACTATATATGAAGCACTATTTACTATAAATTTCAATACATTTTGTGTTTACTACTGACAGATAAACACTTTTCATTTTGCCGAATAAATGTGTTAAATTAATCAACAGTCTCCCGCTTGACCAGTTCAAAGGTTAAACCATATCATTCTACTATTAATAGAGTAATCAAATGCACAGTTGGCATGTTCTAATGACATAAAACTTACTTAATGTATTTCTGTATTTATATTGCAATAAATTTTTATATTTATTCTAATAATTTTCACTTTTCAACACCACGATTCTGATACTTTTTTTACACCAGATGAAACATCAAAAGTTAATCATGTTTTACAATTTAAATGAGCTAAATATTTATTAATTCCTTTTGACTAGAAAATTTTATTAAAAGATTAATAAACTAGCACTATCACATAATTTTATCCATTAAAAATACGTCCAAAAGAATATAAAAATACTCTTTTATTCAATTACATGTACTCACTTAGCATATGATGGAGGATGATATACTTTTAATATACAAATGCAGCACAAATATATATTTATAACTCAAAATGTCAATACCTGTGATTTTTAGCTAAATCAGTAGTCTTTCTGAAAGTTCGGCAATGCCAGGAATTGCACAACCTTCTTGCATTATGTATAAATTTTTTTAAAAAGACATAACTACCATAAAATTATAGTATCAGCTTTTGTAGGCTTTGATGTAATCAGAATTTGTGGTAAAAAGAGGATTAATAGTTAATTCTCGTCCATATACTTGCCTGAGAGGTCGGCATCTGGCTGTATACAGTTTGGTACATTTTTGAGGATGACTGTAGACTTAGTTCAGAAGACGTATGCTTTGGCATGAAAGCCGTTTCAGGCATCATATCTACAGCAAAGTGTTGCATTTTAGTCTTTGAAGCTTGAGACCCTGATAAAGAAGGAGGGAGAGGAATGGTTGCATAGCCATAAGAAGCATGTGTCTGTTCAGGAATTTTTATTGGAGGACTGGTGTATGTAGATGAGGAATTAGTTTTTGCAGAGTTTGAAGACGAAAGAGCTTCTTTAATAGTGCTTGATGAATTAGCTACAGGAATTGAGGTTGCTGAGTATACTTCAGTTATTGGTGGAAATTTCATAAAAGATTCATTTAAAATTTGTCTTGTACTGCTACTCCATGCCCATTCATCTTTAAAAACCTACAAAGAAATGAAACAAATAGAAATAATTCATACAAAATTTGTATTGAAAAAATTTACTTTTGTTCTCTAAAATTATTATTTTCATGTTGTATTGTTTCTTAATAAATGCATACAGATAATGAGAATTATGGTATACATGTGTGTTGACTTGAAGCACTCTACAGAGGAATAGAAGAACATATCTAAAGATAATTTCATAAAGTGATAACACACTACAGTAAAACCATAAATTTAGTCTCCTGTATGCAAATAAAGACCCATTCCTCCCAAAACAAACAGCAATTCTGTTTATGTTTAATGCATCATATGAATAAACAATGCATTCATTATTAAAACTTAATTTTGGCAACAGATGCATAAAAGCACATTGATAGTGCATGAAATCTAGATTATATTTTTAGAGTTCTTGAAAAATAATCTCCACATATTTATTTGAAAGCTAAAATATACTGATGCATTTTTACAATTTAAAATGAAGTCTATTCTTGCCATTTATAACAGCCATTAATGACAATGATATTATAAAATAAAATGTCAAAAAATAAAATTTGAGATTCAAATAACTAAAAAATAGTCATGAAGTTTTCTCATATATTACGTGTCCCCCATTTCATTAAAAAAGTTTTTCCTCCTTTCATTTCACAATTATTTGGCTCAAAACATCATCTCATTCTATCACAACATACTTTCAAAATGTTCCATTGATCAAATTAATCAGAAGTGATTTGGAAAAAAGTATATAATATTTCAGTATTTAATCAAGAAAAACTGTTTAATCCACTTTTACTTATCAAAAATAAAAAATAAAAATAAGTGTATTTACATTTTACTGAAAGATGTGAAACATAAATTTCTGTTAAAAACTTGAGAGAAAATGTATTAAATGCAGAAATAACTAGTAATATGTCATTCTATATTTATACACTCAGAAAGTATTTATATTCTGAAGAAAATTAAAATCAGAATAACATATCAGATGAGAAAAAGTCCATATTATGCACTGCAACCCAAGTATGGTAGGCAACTCTGAAAATATTTTTAACAATGGAAATTCTATTTTTGCATAAATAGTTTATGTCCAACTGAATTTTAAAATAATGAAAGCAAAAACTTTATTTCAGCTGGTGAACCTGGTGAACTTATTCTGAATTGAAGATTTATACATTATTTTAAACTCATATCTATAGTCTTTTTTAGCAAAAATTAGGTACCAATGAATTATGAAAAAGCACTAGAGGGCTGCCTGTCTTATGAGGAATATCTTAGGTGAAGAGTAAGTAGGTTTGCTTAATATACAATATACAGCAAACCATGAACAAATTTTGCCTGAGAACTTAACTAAACTGCCAGTAATCAATTAGCATATCACTGACTTCTTTCAGGGATCTAGCGAACACAGAATGTTACATATTATGATTCAACTTCTCCTGACTTTTTTCAACAGCCAGTAAATCTCTAATATACAGTCTCACATTTTTTTAAACAGATGCCCAGATGGTATAGTGGTTAGGGGAACCTAATGTGGTACTGAAAAGCCCCAGTTTGAATCCTGGAAAAGGCATCCTTATAACTGTCCGCCCCTTCACAGAAGGCAATGGTGGCCGCCTAGTAGTTGCTTCCACAATAAAATGGCCACAACTTCTGGTCTTAAGAGTGGCCAATGTTGAGGCAAGTGCCCCCATTTGAATATATATATGTAATGATTTTAAAAGCGTAGATGAAAACAGTGGAACCCTCAACAACTTAGATACTGCGTAGATGACAGAGAAGACTGTAGTGGCTTGAAGAGAGTGGAAAGCATGATGACGCAATTTAGCACAACATATCTTGAAAAATCACAATCTTTATTTTTTCCATGCATATCAAATAATCCTTTTTCAGACAAGATATTTCTTAATAATATTTGAATAGAATAACTCCCATTTTAAGTACGACGTCATCTTAAGCAAGTAAGCGGCAGTAGCATGGATGAAATGCGTCTTACCAGCAGGAGAGCTAATGCGGAAAAAGGGGGAAGGCTATAGTACTTTCGTAGGAAGAAGGCTGGGAGTGAGAAAGTTTCAGTTCACAGTTTTGGTTTAGAATTAATTTGATTGGACAAGAGGCATCTGCATTAAAACGTTACATAAGACAGAAAAGTCTGGAACCTGTGAGAAGAGATGAATTTAGGGGCAGATTACCAAATTTAGAATGTTAATTTTGAGGTCGTCAATTATTTTTTTGAAACAGCTATCATATTTTCCCTTCAAAAGAAAAGTTGGGTGAGCAGGGTGGAAGAACAAGCATTAGAGCAGCAACATGTGAAAGATATAATTTTGAAAATACAAACATATTAACTTTTAAACAAAATTATTGTCATAAAATTTTGACTGCAGTCTTCTTGGTCATCTACGCAGTATTTAAGTTGTTGAGGGTTCCACTGTTTTCATCTACGCTTTTAAAATCATTACATATTTATAAAAAGTCGACAGGATTAACCTGGTGCAAGTTTTCTCGAATGAATTTCGAACTCTGCTGCCTCACTACCAGTGAATCATCAAATTCATTTCCGGTGTGGGATTTAATGGTATATTCAAAAAGTGCTTCGAAAATCATCGAGTAAATCTGTAAGTTCAAAATCGAAAGTGTTCGGAATCAAGGTCAGTGTCGCCAATGTAGTGAAATATGGTTAATCTTCCTTGCCCACTTCGAATATTCACAATGTTTATGCATCTCCGATCATCGTGTAGAAAGAATATTAATTAAAGGTTGCTGGTTCGCAAAGAGCAAAGCCATCATATTTTTTTCATCGTATTTTTTTTATATTACATATATATTTTTTAAAAGACAGAAAAGAAAGATTAATACAATAAATTTTTGATAGAAACCTCTATTTACATTGCATGCCAAAAATTTACTAAAACCGGGCATGGTTTCATTTAACTCTCTCAGTGGCATGGCTTTTTGAATCTACTTCTGAAGAACTGAACTTTGTTTAATTATTTTAGTCTCTGTTTTCATAAACAGGGTTCGTAGCCACATTTTAGTTAAAAAAATAAGCACCTATAAGCCCTTTTCAAGCACATTTTAAGGAAAAAATAAGCACCTGTCTAATTACATTATACACAACTGCATAACCTTAAAAGAAAAATTTGACTTGTAATTTAAAATATGAGCAATGCAATATTTATTAAGAGAATGAGCATTACCTCATCCATGGAAAACAGTTAACTTTTTTTTATTTTTTAAATTTTAAATGACAGTTCAATTTACAGAATTAGTTTACAATGAGAGAAAAAAAAAACTATGCAGAACTAAACTATATTACAAGATTTAATGATGAAATTTCAGTTCAAAATATAGAAAATAAATAATAATAAGCCATATTAATTGTATTTGTTTGGCACCTAATAATAAATACAATTTATTTTTCCACTCATATTAATGTTTAAATAAATTAATTCTGAACATTTTCTAAATTTTCATTGCATAACAGTTTTCCCTTAACATATATTTAAGTAAAAAAGTAACTTAAAAAGTAAAAAGGTTAATTTAAGTAAAAAATTACTAAAAAGTAATTTAAGTAAAAAAGAGGCACATTTCTGAAATCAGAAGACGGGAAATTGCTTCATTCAGTCATCCTTTAACAGGGTTCATAGCCACATTTTAGTTAAAAAAATAAGCACCTATAAGCACTTTTCAAGCACATTTTAAGGAAAAAATAAGCACCTGTCTAATTACATTATACACAACTGCATAACCTTAAAAGAAAAATTAGACTTGTAATTTAAAATATGAGCAATACAATATTTATTAGGAGAATGAGCATTACCTCAAAAATGGAAAACAGTTAACTTTTTTTTTAAAAAAAATTTTAAATGACAGTTCAATTTACAGAATTAGTTTACAATGAGAGGAAAAAAACTATGCAGAACTAAACTATATTACAAAATTTACTGATGATATTTCAGCTGAAAATATAGAAAATAACTAATAATAAGCCATATTAATTGTATTCGTTTGGCACCTAATAATAAATACAATTTATTTTTCCACTCATATTAATATTTAAATAATTCAACTTAAATCAAAATTCTGAACATTTTCTAAATTTTCATTCCATAACAGTTTTCCCTTAACATATATCCCAAACAAAGTAATTTAAGTAAAAAAGAGGCACATTTCTGAAATCAGAAGACGGGATTTTGCTTCATGCAGTCATCCTTTAACAATAAAAGCTTAACTAACCCGCATACTCGGAAATTTCCGGATAGTAATTGGAAAAAGAGGAGTGGGGGAGATTGTAGCCATTCTTTAGATTTAAATTTAGGCTAAATAAATGATTTTGACATTTCAATATTGTGCATCATATAAAAACAAATGGAACTGAGAAATATTCTGCTTAGAAAGCACAGTAAAACTCTTTTAAGTGTTCATAAACAAATCTCAGACTGAACATCAAAATTAATTATCAATGCAAAATACCGCAAACGTTATTGCGCAATACGTGCGGCGTAATTCCTCCATATGTGATATTACGCAATCGGGATCAACACCTGCCGGTATTCCGAGAATAAAGAACTAAATAAAGGAAAAGAAAGAGACACATACTAAGCTGGGGTGTTTCTGATTCTAATTTTCAACAGACTGTATTAAATTTCCGGAATAGAATCAATCTTCGCTTGGGTTGGGTAGACCGCAAAAACTTTTATTCCTATTCAATCCAGATAGGACAGTGACAAAAAAAAAGTCCGCTGCTTCAATATTACAGATTTTGCGGAGAAACTCCCAACCTCCGTACTGTATAATGTATTGGCAAAGAAAATGAAATTATTTTGACTATTTGATTACTTTCCTTTTATTTAAGCCATTCCGAATATTATTCCTTAGAAAGCTAATCTGTGTAAAAACACACCCATTTTTGTAAGTTTATCTATACTTCAGTAGTTACTTCAACTATATTATTATAAATAGTCATACATATGCTCATAATATAAGCATAACGATCACATAAAAACGCGAATATGAACTGACCACGTGGAACGAGAATGCAAATTATTAAAATCTTGATAGAAATTCAAACGTGTGTAGTATTTGGGTGGAGGAAAAGAATACCGAATGTACCAGAATTTTCTACCGTTTTCGCAATTCTTTGGCCAACAGAACGACGTGCACCTGTCTGTACTCTCGAGGTTAATGCAGAGGAAGGGGGGGGAAAGCAATTTCCGGGAGTATGATTCACCATCTGACGTTGCATATAAGGAAAAAAAGTTGTTTATTTAGTTTCGACTTTGGTACGGGGATAAAATGCGCGTTCATTAAAAACAAAGGATTAAAAAAAAAGCACTAAAAGCAAAAAATAAGCACTAAAAACAAAAAAATAAGGGCTTTAAAGAAAAAGTAAGCACCTATAAGGGCCTTTATATTTTATTTTCAAATATAAGGACTTATAAGCACTTGTAAGGACTGCTACGAACCCTGTTTAACAGTAAAAGCTTAACTAACCTGCATACTCGGAAATTGCCGGATATTCCGGATAGTAACTGGAAAAAGAGGAGTGGGGGAGATTGTAGCCATTCCTTAGATTTAAATTTAGGCTAAATAAATGATTTTGACATTTCGATATGTGCATCATATAAAAATAGACCAACGGAACTGAGAAATATTCTGCTTAGAAAGCACAGTAAACCACTTTTAAGTGTTCATAAACAAATCTCAGACTGAACATCAAAATTAATTATCTCTGCAAAATACCGCAAACGTTATTGCGACGTAATTCTTCCATATGTGATATTATGCAATTGGAATCAACACCTGCCAGTATTCGGAGAATAAAGAACTAAATAAAGGAAAAGAAAGAGACTTACTAATCTGGGGTGTTTCTGATTCTAATTTTCAACAGACTGCGTTAAATTTCCGGAATAGAATCAATCTTTCCTTGGGTTTGGTAGACTGCAAAAACTTTTAGTCCTATTCAATCCGGGCCCACCAGCGGCCGAGCGGTAAAGTCGCTGAACACTGGTAGTTCGGTCTGAGGTTCGAATCCCGCGAATGGGCTGGCTGCATGGTTGTTTTCCCCATGTGTAACATATATACGAGCCAGTTTTCCTATGAAAATCCTCCACGAAGGCAGATAACCCTAGTGTGCTTTGCCCGTAATTAAATACACCAACACCTATTCAATCCAGATTGGACAGTGACAAAAGAAGTCCGCTGCTTCAATATTAGAGATTTTGCGGAGAAACTCCCAACTTCCGTACTGTATAATGTATTGTCAAAAAAAAGTGAAATTATTTTGACTATTCGATTACTTTCCTTTTATTTAAGCCATTCCGAATATCATTCCTTAGAAAGCTAATCTGTGTAAAAACACACCCATTTTTGGAAGTTTATCTATACTTCAGCAGTTACTGCAACTATATTATTATAAATATTCATACATATGCTCATAATATAAGCATAATGATCATAACAAACACGAATATGAACGGACCACGCGGAACAAGAATGCAAATTATTAAAATCTTTATAGAAATTCAAACATGTGTAGTATTTGGGTGGGAGGAAAAGAATACCAAATGTACTGGAATTTTCTACCGTTTCTGCAATTCTTTGACCAATAGAACGACGCGCACCATAGGTTATGTTAATGCAGAGGAAGGGGGAAAAGCAATTTCCGGGAATATGATTCACCATCTGACGTTGCATTTTATAAGGAAGAAAAGTTGTTTATTTAGTTTCGGCTTTGGTACGGGGGAAAAAATGTGCGTTAATGAAAAACAAAAAATTAAAAAAAAGCACTATAAACAAAAACATAAGGGCTTTAAAGGAAAAGTAAGCACCTATAAGGGCCTTTATATTTTATTTTCAAATATAAGGACTTATAAGCACTTGTAAGGACTGCTACGAACCCTGATAAACTTTCATTTAAGAAAGTAAGAAAACAAAATATTTTAAACAATAAGCTGATATACATCAAATAAAAAAAAAATCGCATGACCAAATAAAGGTCAACTGAGTTAATATAATTAGTCAGTTTTATAACATAATATTTGTTAATATAAATAGAAAAGAAATTATGGTGTTAATGTGATATGTACCGATTTTGTTACCTGAATTGTAATATCTGTGACAAGAGATGACAACTTATTCAATAAATGGGATAAAACAATCTGTTCATTAGCATCTCTACGTATGCGGACATGGATTGTTCCAACCTACAATAAAAGTAAAAAATACAGTCAAATCGTGACTTTTGACAACAAAAAAATTTAAACAATATAAATGGGTTATGTATGGAACTTCTCTTAATTTTTTGATAAAAATAGTTTATGTATTAATTTTTCTTTCCTTTTTTTTAATAAAATAATAAAATTCAATGTTTGACATTTTTCACTGAAAAAAGAAACAACTACACATTGATATAATACATGTCATAAAAAGCATAAATAATAAACACATTATTTACACTATAAAATTTTTTTAAAGTAACTACATGAAAGTAATTCACTTTCATTTCTGCAACAGTTTAATAGTTTAATCATATACGTATTGTTTTAATTTGACCATTCACTCTCAAGACACTTTTTGCCAACATACATAACAAATGAAAATGATCACTAATAAGCAAATTTCTTTGCTATTTTCAGTTGCTTCCAAGGATGGAAGCGTAATCTGGGTTCAGGAACACTGTCTACAATCTAGTGGAAATCACATGAGCATCCCACACAAGAATTTCCAGTCTATGGCACTACTTATGATTAGATATGGCCAGATACTATACTGATAATTCTAAATCTAAAATTTTAGAATAAGACTATACCTTCTGATCAGTTGTGTGCCATCAGTGGAGTAAGCTTATCTCTCAACATTTTAGACATTAACATTTTCAAATATAATTTTACCTAACATTCAAAAACATTAAAAGGAACATTTTATCTCTTTTGAAACTGCCTGCCATTCCAACTATAGTCAGGTTCTTTGCCTGGACAGGAGGGACTCAAGTTGAGATTGGACTGCCCTTCACTTGTTCTCATAGCTTAGATATTCTGTCAAATACTGCTGGTAGGTCATAAGAAATTTTAGTTTTCTTGTGTTTCTTTAAGTGAGATTTATTTAATTTTTTGTGCTATCTTTTAGTTTATCTTCATGAAAATTTCTTGTGATAAGTGAAAGGGTTAGAAATCAAATACACTGACACAGTCATTCCAAGTTTAAATTATGGACAGGGAAGCTGTACGAAAAGCAAGTTCTGATGCCAAGATATTACCGAGCATGCACAAGCAATCATTGAAGCCCTTTTATAATAATGTGCTTGCTAATCAGCTGTTAATATCACAACTCCATGGTCTCAATAGCTTGATAACCACACTTTTGAAGATAAAAAATTATCAAAAGAAGCAAAAAAATAGTTAGACCTATTCCATGAAATATTATACCCACATTTTGAAAATAATTAACAATATTTTCAAAATCAACTAAGTTTTGCTCGCCTTGAGTTTTTTGAAATAAAAATATTTTTAATTAATTACTAAAGTTTTATGACTCTCATCAAATTAAAAAAACATTTTATTTATTACGGCATGATCACTTTGTTTTCCTCTCTTAATTCAGTTTTTATGTATTTATTGCAGCATATTCTCTTAATTCAGTTTTTATGTATTTATTGCATTAATGTAATCATCGGTCTTTATTTTCAAAATACAATAAGCCCTGTCATGATGATCACCATTTTGTAATAATCACTTCTAGAAGCGGTGGACATATTGACACGTCTACAAATGCAAAATTTAATATCATTTGTATCCTTCCAATGAAATGAATTTTTTGGTTAACACTTCAAGTTAATCCTGATTTAGAAACAAAACATACAGTTTAATTGCTTTTCTCATGCTTTAATGACTCTCATGACAAAATAAATCTTAACATGAAAGGTGAAGATTAGTATAAATAGGCAGAACTAGAACTTCTAAAACTATATAAAAGCACAGGACATGATGTGACAGCTGATAATTCCTTCATATTGAAGTAATCAGTTTGCCATTATTGAAGAAAAATTTGATAAATATAAAGCAATTTCCATGGGAATCATGCTTGGGAAAAAATTCTAGGAAATTTAAAGAGTTAGAAGAAAATTCTTTTATTTCACAAATATATACAAGTAAAGTACTGGCAACACACTTAATATGCCAACAAAACCAGAGAAACTTTGATGCTGTGATTTACATTTTACATTGGTATGTTTCCTTTCCCTTTCGTAGGGAGAAATAGAGAGTTTTTTATGAAAATTATCTAAATGTATTTAAATAAAAAAACTACATAAAGCAATTATTACAGGAATTGTATTTAAAATATACAATAAATAAAAATGAAATCAGCAATAAAATATAAGGAAATAAATCTTACCTAAATCAATTTTAGAGAATGAAATTATGAAGTGTTTCAGAGACATTCCTACTTGTGCCTTCTCAAGGTTTGGTTGAAGACACACAAAAAAACACTTATGTAACTCTTGAACTTCACTCAATATTTCACAACCGCAGAGAAAAATAACATATTACAAATTACAAGTGAAGCATATGACCTCAGTTTCATCAAATTTTCCCAAATACTGAGTAATTATAGAGTGTTTAATATGAATGTATAAAAACAGAATACAGTCTCCCAACAAATTAAAAAAAATCTAAGAAATTCATCAAAAAGTATTATTCAAATTCCTTCTCTCGCAATAAGCTCTTACAGCCTGGCCACAGCCACTAACTAGAAGTTCCATGTTCAAATACAGTAGCTACCAGTCCCTTTTTCATCTTTTTTTAATAATTTATTTTGAAGGAAAATTCATAATAAAAAGCATGCATGTAAATTCTGAAGTGTTTCATCCCCTCCAAATAGATTAAGCTACTCAGCTTATTCTGCCCTATTTACAGAAAAGCAAATGCTTTTAAAACTATAGATATATATATATTCTAAAAAAAAAAAAAAAAAAAAAAAAAAAAAAAAGGGAATTTAATGTGTCATTTATCACTTAAAAAATGTATAAAAAACTATGAAGAACTAGGAACGTACTCAAAGCAAATGAAATACGTTTCTTAAATCTTTAATATTTTATAAATAACCAGGAAAGGATAATTAATTTTTAACATTTTAATCCTTTGCGGCACAGTGTGTCCGGTCTGGACATACCTAAAAATTTTCTTCTGTACGCACAGAAAAATTGAATGAAAAAGGATTTATAGGTTAATACAGGTTACTCTAAACCTTCTTTATTTATAGTAGATGGCAGCTCAACACAAACCAATCCATATATTTCAGCCATTTTTGTTTTTTAAGACCCTCATTTTTCAAAGAAATCTTCCAGATTTTTTTTAGGGTATAAAAGGAATTGTTTGAAAAGAAATTTCTATATTATTTTTTGGATGTATGCTAATCTCCTTATTCTATATTAGTTTTAAATTTTTACCTTGAAATCTTGCCTAAAATCAAATGGCGAACCCTAGGTGTGCCCAGACTGGGCTCACCGATAATCTAGGACAACTGAGAGTTTGTATTCTTTGTTTCTTCGCATCTCATCGGTCAGTTCATTGACAACAATGCTGGTTTCAGCACTCTTTTCGAAGCTCTATTCAATCAGTGTGCCACTTTGGGCACACTGATTGAATAGAGCTTGAATTAAAACTCTATTCTATTAATTAGAGCTCTATTCTATTGAATAGAGCACCCACTGAATTAAAACGATAAGTGTTATCTTCACAAAATTTTACTTGTGTACTCCTCTAAGCCTAATTACACTGCCTACCTTTTTTTTTTTTTTTTTTAAATCAAAACTCCGACTTTAAAAAGTAGCGTTCCGGAAAGGGTTAAAATGGAAATTTTCTTTTTAAAGAGGATACAAAAACTTCAGGTACTTACAATTTTATCAAATCCTAAGAGCCAAAAATGCTCATTTCTAAATTCCAAAACTCCATCCAATGTAGACGCTTCACGAAGGCACTTGTCCAGTAAATCAGTTACATGAGGTGGAGTTCCCTACCAATAAAAGAGATAAATGTTTTAATAGTATATTTTTATATAAAGTTAATATTATATTCAGCAAATAATGCAATAATGTTACTCATTCTGAGCAAAATAAGGGTTACAAATTAACTGAATTTAGTATAAATTAATATTGAATACAACTTTTAAAGCAACATGCAGATTCTTTTACAGTCAAATAACTTAACTCTATTCATCTATTTTGGGTGCTTCATTACCCATGCTAAAAGTAATCACTGAAAACTATAAACAGTAGAAAAATGTTAAAGAAAATTTCGCCGAGATCATAAAATCAGGAGGAATCATAAAAAAGACTTTACCCATGCTAAAAGTAAATTATAAATAAAATGTTTAATTAACAAAGAATGAAATACACATGCTTAAGGATACAGCCATTTCAACAGATGTTAAAAAGAAATGATTGTAACAAACAAGCATTAGAAATACAAATCATACTAAAAAAATTAATGTTTTCCGAGTGTTTCATTATATCCATATATGTTTAATTAACTAAGATGATAATTTGTTACTCCATTCACAAAGGTTATTTAACAAACCAATCCAAAAAACCAAGGTTATAAGATAATTTTGCATAATGGTTTATTATGGATAAAATGGTTTCAGCATCAGCTGCCCAAATGGTATAGTGGTTAGGGGAATTGACTGAGATACCAAAGGGCCTGGATTTGAATCCCGGAGAAGGCATGGACGTAAATTGTCTGTCCCCTCATAGGAGGCAATATTGCTACCTATTTATTAGGTGCCTCCACAATAAAATAGCCACCACTTCTGGCCTTAGAAGTGCCCAATACTGAAAAGGCAAGTGCCTGCCATTCATAAATAAAAATAAATTAAAAAAAAAAAAAAAAGGTTTCAGCATCATCGAAATGACTGACAATATGATTTTTTCTAAATCACTGCAAATTGTGACCTGTAGATAAATACCTAGCCAGAGAAAAAGCTGCTTATCAAGAAAAGGAAGGCCAGGGAAATTGAAAAGAATATACATGTCATGTAGCAAACAACAATTTGTAAAATCTCCAATGGATACAATTTTCTTTAGAAACAATATCAGTCTTAAACTCTTCCACAGTTGACATCCTTCCCTTACATTTAATACAGAGTTTCAAAGACATTGAAACTTCTCATGATGAGTACCTCATTAAAATGACCACTTCTGAAAGGGACCATTATTTATGAGAACATAATTAAAAAAAAATCTGAAAGGTTTCAGATTTTTTTTTTTTTTTTTGATTACATCCAAAGGGTTTCCCCACCTAACATTTTGTCTGTTACCTTTATTTATTAAATATCACGTTCTTCGCACTTAAACCATAAAATTTAGTTCAAGAGCAATATCGCAGAATAGTTTTAAATTGAGCATATCTTTAGAATTTTTGATATAGAGTCTCACGGTCTGGAGATAAAAATGTTTTTTCTGTACAACATTGCCATGGCTCAGTTTGAAATCCTTGAGTTTGTTAATCAAAAATTCGTTAAAGTTTTACAAAATTTGAAATCAATAATAAAACAAATTCCAAGTTTGGGCTTCTACATGCCCATATTCGCAGTAGGATTACATTATTCAAAATTCGATGTACCGCTCTATGTACCGTTGTTTTATCACAATACAGGAAATATACATATATTTATGCAGATTTTTCATTATTTAATTTCTTCAAACATAATGCAGGACTGTAACATTGAGACTCTAACAATTAAAATTAGAGTTTGAGAAGTGAAACGGACATTTATAGTGAACCATCGCAAAACGAAAACAATAGTCCTTCAGGGACAAAGCCCCTTTGGACTAACAATACATAATTCCTATTTTCTACGAGTATTTGACAATACGATTTGTGATCCTTTTTTTTTTTTTTATGCTTTTTCCCCCAAGCTCTCATGCGGCAAGACTGACTGACACACATATATAAACAAAACCCACCTCCCCTTCCACTGACACCTTGAAACAGAATCAATGTTTCTTACTTACACAAGTTAATCACATATTAAATGGGATTCTGTTTCAATTCCACACATGCACTATGATGAAAACAGTCTCATATGAGTTTGCAATGTAAAGCTTTAAAACTATAATTTCTTAAAACACAAAACAGTAAAAAGATGCTCTCAAAACCTACTTAAAATATTATTAAGTGCAAAAGAGAGACTTCTGTACCTTATATCATCAGATTAGATGAGAAATGGGCCAGATTACACAACCCAACACTGAAATGTTGATCAAAGGAATATTATTACAGGTCATCAAAATATCATCAGAATCCTAGTAAAGTTATAGAAATTAATTACACATGAAGAAAGACACAAAAACCAACTATGCAGCCAACTCATTTGCCTGAGATTGAACCCAGGACAAACTCCCAGTATTATGCACTCTTAATCAATTGGACATTGCCCCTACTAAACAATATTTTATCTCTTAAAATACACCAAACCTTTTTATCTGTGACTATGGGAAATTTAAGAAAGAATTTTATATAATTTTGAAAATCTAATACAATAATATATTATTATATAAAGAGCATTACATAAATATTGCACTTAACTAAAAATTAAACAATAAAACATTTTTCAATTATTCAATAATCAAACAATAAAACAAATACTACATTGCTTTTATTTACATATAAATTAACAGTACATAATACATGTAAAAACAGTACATGTGAAAACAGCCTCTAACCTGTAACAGGATCTTTGCACTATATGAACTCATAGGATACATGGTTATGCAAGTTAAAGTTGATATGAAAATGCCAGCCATTGCATCTGCACTATAGTAGTCACTAAAATAACAAAACATGTTGTTTAGATTAGTATGCTAGTCAATCATAGCTTTTAAACACAATAAATGTTGCATTTTCTCTACAATAATCCCCAAAATAATAAAACATTTTTTTTAGCATATTGTTCAATCACAGTTTCTAAATACAATGCAAAATCTGGTTTTTGATCAACAACTGAAGGAAAATAATGTTCCATTTTAATTAAAAAAATTCTCATGAACAAAATGGAAATGCAAATATATTATTGATTGAAATATCTGATGTGTACACCACATGACTTCCTAATACAGAATATTAAATTATATGCAAGTTTTGCTGAATTTCATTTACACATATTTCCTCAAATTTCTTTACACATATATTTCTCATTCAATTAATTCTGTTCTCTGTCTGTGGCAAGTCAAAAATACATAAAACCTCAAAATATCTTCATTCAAATTAAAAGATATAGAAAAACATAAAATACCAAATACAATTAAAACAGAATTTTACAATTAAAATTAGACTTTCAACACAAAATCAAGCAATTTGGCGAGCAGGCAACAAGGAAGATTTATCGGTGCACAAAAATGAAAGTTTAATTTTGGTCCCACTTGGCAAAAAGACACTGAAGGTGCAGAAACTCACTTAATTCACTATTCTGCTAAGTTTCAAATGCAAATAAATATGGTAAAAAATTAGGCTTAGGCGGACTTAAACAACTTTTAAATTGTTGACAATTCAACAACTATTGCATGCAGATTAACTAAAGGCATGAAAACCTTAACCGGAAGATAAAAAACAACATAATTCAATCATTTTTAAAGCAAAAAATATGCAATTTACTAATATAAGAATAAAAAAAATGAGCTCACTGAGCCAAGTAACAGAGTATTTGAGTTACACAAGATATGTACATACCTATGTATGTAGATACCATGAAAAAATATATCTCTTTTAAATGAATTTTAAATCAGTTTTATAATTCGTTTTGGGGAAAAGAGTCCTTTATTCTGTCCTTATGTATAGATGTCACACCAAAACATCGTTAAATTGCATTCGATAGCAGTCAATTGGATATTTTTGTTGAAATATGATACTTGGAATTTTTCATGATTACAATGCTTTCTTTACTTCATATAAAGAAGTAAAAAAGGGAGTAAATGCATGTTTCTACATTTAGAGATATAAATGAATAATAAATAAGTACTTTCTATTAAAGGTATCCATTTGGTACTTTTTTTAGGAGGGGATGTGGATTTCCTCAAGGCTCGGGGCTGACAACTTGGTTTGCCTTCTGTCCTGGTGATAATCACCTTTGTAATCATTGCTAGTATAGCACAACCATACTTTTTCACCTAACCTTTTGTTCTCCCTTTACTTACTTACTTTCTTTTTTACTGCAATAGATTTCACAACTTGAGATTTTCCAAGATATGAAGCAGGAGCTATCCAATATCTTCAAGAAAGAGTTATTCTTTATAAAGTAAGAAAAAAAGATTGTGTTTGAATGAACACGTCATGAAATTAAAGCTGAAATGGCTGTGTAGCCTTCACACATGATGAGATTTTTTTTTAAGGGCATGTGATAACAGAAAGCATCAAGGGCTATCTGCCTAAGGGAAGGGATGCCTTCGTGGAGGACTTTCTAAGGGAGACTGGCTCGTATACGCCTTACACATGGGAAAAACCACATAAATACCCATGCAGCCAGCCTGTTTGCAGAATTTGAAACTCAGACTGAACCACCACTGTTTAGTGGCTTTTACCGCTCGGCAACTGGTGGGCTATACATGTTCAGAATAAACACTTTATTGCTTATATTACAACCATACAATTCATTTTCTTACAACATCAGGAGTTGATATCTATTGAGTTTTGTGAACTAAAATTTGCTTCAAATAAATCACAACATAACGGTAGGTATGCATCAATTCCTTGGTAACTTCTTCTAACCTTAAAATCAGTGGACACTAAAAAATTATGGAAAGAAAGTTTATTCACAAAAAGAAAAATATATTCTCCAATCATAATGCACATTTGTAGGATTAGGTCATGAAAAAGAAAATTCTTTGTTACTGTTCCTGATTGTTTTGTCTAATACTGAGCCAAAGACATGGGGAAAGATAAGAACTGAAATGCTGAAGCAATATGCTAAAAAAAGGGGGGTATAACTTTAATGGGAAATTAGGAATAAATGTTCTTTAGACACATACCCAGTAACACATCTAAGTGTTTTAAATTTTAATATTAAATTATTTTATTCTGAAAGACTTTAGTCTATTGACAAAGAATATATCTTTCAGAATAAAAACACTTTAAATCTTAATTGAACATCAATTTAATAAAGACTGTATTAATATTAAAACAAGCACATATGTGTACATCACATATCATAAACAAGCACGTATGTCTTCCTTGAACAAAGTAATCACACATATTATTAATGATTTATATACAGGGCTCATCAGATTAATATTTATACAAAATATTTCAGGATGTGTATGACCATGATAAAATTACAAAACAGCAATTGGAAACATAGACCAATTTTTAATTTGCACAACTGGATTTTACAAACTAAATTAAAATATTAATAAATAAATTATTAATGATTTATATACTGGGCCCATCATAAAAAGATTAATATTAATACAAAATACTTTAGGATGTATATACACATGATACGATTACGAAAGAACAATTAGAAACATAGACCAGTTTTTAATTTGCACAACAGGATTTTATAAAATAAATAACTTATAGTTAATTCATGTAATCATATGCAGTTAAAATATAGTCATTGTAACTTAACCAACCAACCAAATTTATCTTTATAGTTTAACTTGTACAACTGGATTTTACATAATACCTTCATAGTTAATTCATGTGCAGTTAAAATACAATCACTGTAACTCAAACAGCCAACCAAATTTGTCTTTGTAGTTCAATCTCTGAAAAATGTACAGCCACTTCATTAGATTTGAGAAAAGGATTATCCAATATGTTACCATGCATTTCCTCACATAGCCATCGGATAGTGTATTTTTATTAATTTTAAGATGCTCGTGCATCAAAATATGTAAAAATACTTTGAAAAGAATTTTGTTTTATTAATTCAAAATGTGTATCTATTTCCTATTTTTACAATAGCTTTAATATAGAAAATTTATGTCAAGGAAAATGCAATAACTACTACTCAAAGCAAGGAAATAAAACAGCTGATTGGGCAGTATAAGCTATACTTACTAAATATCAATAAAAAAGAGAGCAAAAACGGAAATCATTCCAGCTGCACATCCTAAAAGAGAAAATGGATTTATCCTAGGCCACGAAGTACCATTCCAACCAGGAACAATATGACATAAGCTGAAAATCAAAAATATTTTTTTTTGGAATAACAAAGCATTTTTAACATTTTTAGATAGATATAACATTGATACATTGGTGCAATTAACAATTTAGGATTATAGGCAAATGCTACAGTGATGAGACGCGATTATTTAATCATACTGAAGATTAACTGTTAATTTTACAGTGAATAAACATTTTATACGAATACGACCAAACTGTTGTTTTCTAATAGTCCAATTAAATTAATTAAAAAATTCAACATGAAACAAGCATCAAATGTTTAGAGGTATCAAACACTCTAAAATATAAAATAATAAATAATAATAATAAAATAAAATTTAAAAATCTGAAAGTTTTCCGATTTTATATGTTTATTAAGTGCTTTTTTAAACATTTTGTGTGTTAACTTTATTTAGTAAATATCATGTTCTCCACGCTTAAATCATAAAATTCAATTCAACAGCAATACCATACAACAATTTAAAAAGAGATTTCCGATACACAGTCTTGCGTGCTGGATATATATATATATATATAAAAAAAACTGTACGGTGTCGCCATTGCTCGCTTTGAAACCGTTGAGTCTATTAATCAAAAATTCATTAAAATTTCAAAAAATATGAAATAGATAATAAAACAAATTCCAAATTCGGGCTTCCGGATGCCCATATTTGGGTGGAGAATTATGCTATTCAAAATTTGATGGCTTTAGGTACCTTTGTTTTATCATAATGAAAGAAATATACATACATTTATGCAGATTTTTCATTATTTAATTTCTTTAAAATATAATATAGGGCTGAAATATTTGGTGGAAGCAATCTGAAAAGTGATACACCGTTTTTAATGTTTGACATAACATGCCAAAGCGAAATTAATAGCACTTCTGGGCTAATGCCCTTTGGGATAATAAAATGATAGTACACATTATTTTAATTTTAGGCATTAGAAGGTTTTTTACAGTAAAAAATTTAAAACAATGAACATTTTACTCAAAAGGATTAAACATACTAAATCAAGACACAATAACATGCCGAACAAGTACTAATTCAGAAGTCACACAACAAAAATCAGCGTTAATCATTTGCGCTTTTGCAGCTGGGGATGGTGGTTCAGTAAAATCATCGAAACTAGTCTTGTGAAAATTTGAAAATATAACGCTGACTTTGTTGTTCGACTTCTGAATTAAAACTGAATCAATTTATGGTGTGCTACCCTTGAAATACGATAAAGACAAATTTTATAACACATACATTTCTCTAGCAATGGCCATAATTTTTTTTTTACTTTAAATAAAAATCAATAATAATAATAATACCTGAAAACTTGATCTAGATTATTAATTCTAAGATTCAATTAGACTACCTGTTTTAAGGTTAAATAATTACACAACAGAGCTGCGATTCAAAAAATTCTTTTGGAATAGTAACTCTTTACACTATTATATTACAAGCAAATAAACTTGTGCATCAAGCATTTACCAAAAGATAGATTTTTATCACACTTTTGGATTTTTTATGTTTCAGTGAAAAACATTTTTATATGCAGTTTGTGTCCCGTGAAAACAGCTTTGCAATAAGGCAGTTCAAAGTTTTATATACAAAAATATTTACTGATTTTGACACCAAATCTGAATTTCTTTAATTTATAACTATCTATTACTGATTTTATAAAGACTACAAAAAGCTTAGTACCTAAAATCTAGTGAGCAATACCCACAGTACTACTAAGCCCTCAGGACAACAGCTGTTTATCCTGCATTAATTTTTATACAAGATTTTATTTATTTTTTAATACTTAAGAAGTACCCATAAAAGTTGAATGCATAATCTATCACCAGAAAATATGGTTTGACACAAGTCACAGTGACTTGTATCTTGTGGAAAACATACTAAAAGAGGACTAGGAAAAAGTAAATACTAACAGTGTGGAAAAATTTCAATTTTTTCCCTTAATTACAGAATGTTTAATGACACACTGTATGGATGTAAAACCATACCTTTAATTTCTCTCTTTTGTTGCACTTAAGAATAATAAATAGTTTAGTAACAGTTGATTTAAGTTTACTTTTTATTTACAGACAATTGTTTCATTTCAGGACCAAGTTAGTTAAATTAAGAGATTCAGAATAAATTCTTCTGACTACCCGTATAAAACCACATTTCCAACAATAAAGGATGATGCATATTTAATTACTTTACAAATCTTCAAATATATCTATACAGATAATAAATTTGTTTACCTCTGACTAATGGATGACATCCGATTCTGTAGCCAGCTTGAATCAGATGCACATATAACAAGATTTAAACCTTTATTCTTCATACAATATGTTATTAACATATGACATAAAAAAGCCACAATAATTCCAGGAAATAAACGGCCACTAAAAAAAAAAAATGCATGAAGAGAAATAAAAATAAAGTTATAGAAAGAACTTTCTCAAATATAAATATTTATGTTTGCACATGCATGTGATACATAAACTACATATATATGTAATACATCTAAATAATAATTTCATACTGGGAACACATACATGCACTTAGTTGAAAAAAAAAAAAAAGAATGTTTAATAAAGATGTACTGAAAATCAAAACATCTTAATGTTACAACTTGACAAATGAAATTATACACACAATTTTCTGAAGAATATTACTAAGAAAGTTTTACTTCACCATAAATACAAAGGAAAAAAAATATATGTTCTACTACATGCACAAGCTAAATAAATAAAATAGTGTTTTTTGGAGGGAGGAATTCAAAACTGGATTTGAAAAGTGATACAGACATTCAAAGTAATTTGACACAAAATATCGTTAGACATTGTAACGTCTTTGCGTTGCTATGCTACCAACATAATATCAGCAAGAAATGTAAAGAATCCTCATACATAAAATATCCATGCTTGAAGATGCATGCAATATTAATGTTAATGAAATACTTTGAAATCTGAAATTCATTAAATTTTTACATAATATGAAATAGATAACAAATTCCAAATTTGGGCTTCTAGTTGCCCATTTGAGTGGAAGACTATGTAATTCACAATTCAATGTCTCTAGGTACTGGTTTTTTTCCCCCCCACAATGCAAGAAAGAAACACATTCATGCAGATTCTTCATTATTTAATTTCTTTAAATATAATGCAAGGCTCTAATATTTGTTGGCAACAATTTGAAAATTGTAACTCTGTTTTATAGTGAACCAACACAAAATGCCAAAACAAAATTAATAGCCCTTCTGGGCTAACACCCTTTGGTTAATAAATGATATTGCATAATAAATTAAATATAATTCAATTTTTAGAATCATCTAACTTTTAACCCAATTTAATCCTACATCAATTAAACTCAACTGTACATTAATAATGACGTCTTTCCTAAAAACAGGACTGTTAATGTTCCCAATACTCATGCGCAATTGTGCAATTTAAATTAAATCATTTCCAGTTTTCCAGATATACACTTAATAAATAAAACAAATTCATTCATCATTCCAAATAATAAAATTTCATGCAGGTATGTTAATTTTTTCATGAAGTGTGCTTGAAATACTTTTTTATTCTATTAAAAAATTTTAAGATGGTAAAATCTTGATGGCTGAATTCTTAATTAAATAATAACATCTTACACTCTCTTCAAACTTTTACTTTTTAATACACTTATTACAAAGAAGCACTTGTTACTTCACTGACTTTATTAACTAAATATAGAATTTTTTGACACAACATCAAAAAACTATATTCTAGTGGAAATATTTTATGTATGATTCATCATGAAAATTGACATAAAATATTCCAAAAACTTCAGTGAAAATGACAAATTAAACTTTAAATAAATAGTTTCTATTTTATTCATTACATACAAAAAGTATTGCATAATTATCCCATTCTAAATCTTTTTAAAAACTGGGTGAGATTAATACTGTATTTTAACTTTTTCAAATGGATGGGTGCTTTATTTAATAGCCATTATCCTTGCACCACTACAAGCTCCAGAAGTTACGGCCATTTCATTATGGAAGCACCTGATAGGTGGCCACTGTTGCCTTTTATGGTTACAACTGCCTCAAATAGTTACAACCATGTCTTCTCTGGGATTCGAACCCAGGCCTATTGCTATGGCACTCAGGGTCACTAACTACAATATCGACAGGGCAGCTCAAAAATGTTCAGTGCCTTTGCCAGGACTCAAACTATGGACCTCTCAAATACGTGTCGAGTGTGCTACCAGTTACACCACAAAGGCATTTTTTATAAACTTATTTTATATTTTTTAAATAAATGAAAATACAATTATACATTTGCTAAACCATTTTTAAGATTCAGATTAACAACTAATTAATCATACCTTAAAGTGCCACTATAAATTAGGACTATAATAGGACTATTTGCTCCATATTTACTTACTTTTTTTTAAATAACAGCTGAATTAAGATTGCACTGTTATACCAATTTCTTAAAAACTTGTGGCATTTAAAAATCTATAACAATATGCCACTTTACAAAAGTGTCGAGAATATATTTTAAACCATATAAATAAATTAGCATGATTACGAAATGTTTTTGTTTACATTTATACTATTAAAATCTGTGCATGTCTGTCTGTTTGTGGCATTATCTCCTCCAGAAGAGTTACGAGAGAAGTATCCTCAGATTCCAAAAATTTGTGGAAAGCTATTTCAATCATTCTCCTCTTCATAGGACTTTAATTAGTCAAGATGTTAAAATTAAAAACTTTGAAAATGCTCATTTTTCCAAGTGGCAACAGTCTTGCACACTGGAGATAAAAATCGGCTTTATTTCAAAAAGTGTTGCCACTCATCGCTTTCAAATCATTTGTAAAAAAATTGTAAGTTTTACAAAATATGAAATAAAAATAGCATTGCCAAAAATTAAATACAGTCAAAAGTCGTTAATTCGGACACCCATAATACAAAATGATCTATAATCCGGACCTCAAAGCTGAAAACTTTCTGCGCATGCGCCGCGTTCGCACAGGCGTTTTACGTGTGCGCGTAAGACCTTGACTACTGCGCATATGCGCGTGCGCAAGTGCAGAATACATTTTCGCCTGCGCGTTTAATGTATAACGGACGGTGTAGGCTAAAATTATCTAATTATCTATTTCAGTTAATGATTGCGTTGTTCCTTAATCTTCGAATAGGATCCCGCTTATTATTTTTTGCAGACTGTAAGAGCAATTTTATAAAAGTAAACTTGAACTTTCGATTATGTCAAATAGAATTTCCGATGCTGGAACTTCCAAAGGATCTACAAAACGAAAGTATGTTTCAATGTCCAACAAACAAAAAGTGAAATTGCTGAAAAAAATGGATAAAGACATGAAGAATGTGACGAGAGGTTAGTGAAAACGAAAAAAATTTCCATTGACCAGTTAGTCGGTATTCTCGGCACAGCAATTAACGGGACTTGAACAGCAGAAACTCTTTAACTGAAAAGAAATTATGCTGTTTATAGAATTAAAGAGAAAGTATTAGTATCACATAAAAATGAAGCAACTTAAACAACTTACATTGAAAGAAATGTTTAATAAAGTAAACAAATAAATATTAAGCTTTTTTATTGTAAATTTTGATACCCTTTAGATCATAATTGTTCTTTATTTCATAAATTACGGTTTCATATTTTTAATTTTAGAATTTCTGCATGCCATCTTACGAGATTTAAACTGATGATCTATAATCCGGAAAAATCGATAATCCGGAATCGCCGAAGTCCCGACGAGTCTGGATTAACGACTTTTGACTGTATACTATTATTACATAAGGTCACATTCTGACATTGAAGAAAGCAGACGATTGCATGTAATGTCATTTTAAGTCAAAAATGTTTCATTAATGTCAGCTTTTAAAATAAATAGCTGCTGTTGGTAACTTTTTTGTTTCGGGTTAGGGTAACTGACATGATATATTATTACCATATTAATTTTTTTTAATTTTATTGAGAAAAAGTTGTTATATTACATTAAATTTAATTCACGATGTCGTACATATTAAGATGAAGTGTCAAAAGTTTTTGTTTCCTGGTTTGGCAACAAAAAAGTATTTAAGAATTGGATGTTGCTTGGGAAGAATGAATTCATTTCATTTATATTAAAATGTTTTCATCCATTTTCTTCTCAGGTGTACATACAACATATAAGTTTTACTTTACTCGCTAGTATATAATTTTAAAAATTGTTGAACATTTTGATAATGAATAAATGCCTTTTAGCTAAAAATAAAAAAATTCTCATACTAGTATTTATTAGAAACATAAAACAAAAATACTTATCAAATATAAGATATTATAGTAATTTGTGATAAGAGAATAAAATCAATATTTCAGTTTACATGCACACAGAATTATATTACTCAATCCTTAAATGAAGGCAGACATACGTATGAACTTGAGATTGTTGTATCCATCGCACTATACTGAAAGGAAAGAGGAAAAGAGAATGATATTTTAACTAATAAAACTAAAATTATGCAGAAGTTTTTTTTAAAAAATAAAACAATATTTTTTTTACCTTTTCTTTACAGTGAAAAGTGAACTAATTATGGAAAAAGTTGTAGATACGAAAACTGCAAGAACTTCAACTCGTTCATATCTAAATTTAAAAGTGGGAAAAAAAAAGTTTAATTACGAAATAATACCAGGAAAAAAGTATAATTATGATTTATTTCAGCAAAAGTGATTGATTAGACTTTATCACAACGACCAATGACTGGATCTTTCATCACTATCACAGTCTCTACCCTTTGAGAAAGACTTTCTGCTAAGTTTCATTACATAATATAGGGTCTTCAATTGCTAAATAAGTTAGACTGATAGGGTGCTGTTATGCTCTCAAATATGCAGTGAGAAATTTAGATGCAAAATTTCCTTCACAATGTAGGTAATGTAGTAACTGTGTGAAGAATTATATTAAAAAAAACTACTTCGTGTTTATTTCTGTATGCGCCATATAGTGTAAAATAAATGTTAATACTCGACCGAATCACGGAATGTTTTCAAAAACTTCACTATAATATATGCAGGTATTTTCTTCCTGTAACATGGCAAACAGTTCTGTGATAGTTTGGGCACTAGCTCTCAGCTGATGCCTTAACTCATCCCACAGATGTTCAACTGAACTGAGATTAGGAAATTGGAGAGGTCACTCAAGTTTGTTCACTCTCATTTTTTTAAATTACTCAGTTATGGCTTTTGCTTTATGAAAGGTAAATTGTCCTGTTAAAAAAACATAAAGGTCAGTCCTATATTTTTTGTCACAATGTAGGCAGCACAGAACTGTATCACAGGCTTCAGTGCTTAAGACACTATAACTCCTCCTTTGTCAAATTTCTCAATGACAGTGATGTACTTTGGTAAGTAATGCTTATCCTGTATATGACATGCTCATACATATCGATATTTGTCCCTCCACATGATGCTCTTACATTGCTCTCCAGCTGAAAAATAACATGTACCACTATAATTGATGATCAACTTGCCTTAAGATCCAAGAGTGCATATCTCTCGATGAATGAAATACTGGCATCACTTCTTCCAAATGCCATTTCAGATTCTGTAGCCATAATTCCAAACAAAACTTGCCGATTTGATTTCACCACTTAAATGGTTCTTATCTGTCAATTCTTTGGGCTTTAGTGGAAGGGAAATGGTTTTATAACTCCCCAAACTTTCATTTTACCACTATATTACTTACAAATGCAAAAACTTTACAAATTTTATTAACAATACCCTTAATTATTTACATAAATAATAAAGCAAAAACTGTGTAAAATATTAATTGCAAACTAAATACAAAGGAACCTCGAGATACGAGTACCTCTATATACGAGAAATTCAAGATAAGAGGAAAGTATCAGTGAAAACTTTGTCTCTAAATACAATCACTGACTCGAGTAACAAGCAATGAGCCAGGCTGTTGGTATGTGTGGCGCTATTTCCCGATTCGGCTCGACTCGGGGAATCCCCTCATCAGATCACTCAGTGTTCTTTGATCTACGTGTTTGTGCACTTGTGAGTTAATTGTTTATTTACTTTTAACGTGAAAATAATTATTTCACGATGCCTCCCAAGAAGAGCCTCAGATAGTGTTGCAAAGAAAAAGAAGGAAGTCGTGGCCATTGAAATTGAGAAATAAAATCATAGATGGTCAAGCATGGTGTAAGAGTGATGGCCTTTCAACATAGACGATCTACACTAAAACGATCTACACACTTTCTAAAGTTATTAGTTTATTTCTAATGTTTTGCTAGATTCAAACTGGTAGCTTCGTGAAAACATTAATAATAATAAGAAAATCTATTAGTAGTAAATGAGAATATTAGCCATAGACTCATTTTGTGACAGAGGGGGAGACAATTACTTTAAACTGACAACAGGCACATTTATTTCCTTAAAATACCAATAAATCACAATAATACAAAAAGTTTCACTTACCCAAATGTATACTGTGAATTTGGTTTCTTCTGTTCTACCCATATACTAAGGGCACATATGCATAAACTATATTAAAAAAAAAATATTTAGAGTAAATTTGGTATAAATTTGACAACATAAAATATATATCATAAGAAATTGAAAGAAAAGTGCATTAAAAATTACACACTTCATCAACACTTTCTCAGAAAAACTAAGCACCATTCTTTAATCATTTCTTTCTTTTCTTTTCTTTTTTTAAAGCTTAGCCATAGCTGTTACTCATTTAGCCCC